TGCCCCAGCAACATTGCGATGTCGAGGCCATATTCACGGCACTGGGTGCCGCTCTAGGGGGCATGGGGCATTATTGACGTAGTTTATGGAGCCATTTATGACGATTCAACATTTTTATTTCAACCGCACTGCAAGGCAAAACGAGCTGGCGGGGGGGAGGGCAGAGCAAGCATCAACTTAAATTTACTGCTGGTAAAAGCCGCTTGCTCCGGTGTTTGGGTAAATAAAAACAAAAGACAGAACACGGACCAGGGACCACAGACTACGGACCTTCGAAGGAGAGCTCCGAACAATGCCAAAAACACATCCAAAGAGTCAGGCCATAGATAAAGCTTAGATGCGCAAAGCGTATCGAGTTTCTATTATCTTCTCGGTGGAGGAACCGTCGCGACGTCTAGGAGTCGAAAAGTTTTTACGCAAAAGACAGAGAACTTAAAAAAAAAAAAAAAAAAATAAAAATAAGACAGGCCACAAAAAGCGCCAGGAGGAGCATCGCACAGCCAGAAGGCACGAGCTGAAGCAGAAGGAGCAGAATACTCACACAAGCGCATAATGAAGCGCGTCATTATCCTTAAGATACATAAACAATGCCAACAAGGAGCAGCAGCAGCAGTAGCAGTAGCACCAGCACCAGCAGGAGCAGTAGCAGCTGACTGGAATGGAATGGAAGGTAGAGCTATATCCATAGTCATGGCTGAACTATAAGCCAAACAAACAGAAACAGAAGCAGCGGCAGCAGCAGCAGCAACAATAGGCCACGCTGAGGGAGCAAGTGAGTGGAAAATACTGCTCGTGTATTGTTTTCCAAGCTTTTCCTCTGCTTAATTACCAGGCAGAAGAGCGACGAGTTGTAGATAGTTCCTTGAACTGAAGAAAAGTTTAATAGATTGGGCACATGAGTGACGTTAAAGCTTAAACGGTTCTGCGGCCCCACACACACACACACACACAAAAACCCCTTGAATATGCATGCGAGTAGAAAAACCAATTTACAGGCTGGGCTGGGCTGCCTTTCATTACTTGCGACCTCTGGATTGATTATGAAATTTTGCAATTAGCTTATATAAATATTATTTCAACATCCAGACACAAACACACGAGAGGGAGCAAAAACCCAAAGCCTTTTATTGTTGCGTGATTCAGTGGAATAATAAAATTAATCCACAAAAAATTGCATAGAATAATATGCATGGGAAATATTTTTAATTGATCTCGTTTTAGGGGGCGTCATGCACAAGTTTATTTTCTCAGCAAAACCCAACCGTTTTTGTGTCTTGTCGAGAGCATTTATTGGGTTTTTGAATTTTAATTAAAATCTGATGGCCAGCGGCGCCAAATGCAGCCAGCCAGCCCGACGTCGCCTACCCCAAATATTCGTGTCTCCCCGAAGAGTGTGCCAGCTGGGTTTTTCCTATACGAAAAGTAATGTAATAGGGGTTTACAGATCATATCTGGCCATGAACTTTGACCAGCAGTGAGGGCTGACTGTGCCTGCTGTCTAATATTGTTCAGGATTTTGTTTTGGCAGCTGCATTTTCAAGCCACGCACATCCGTACGTACATAGACTCGTCTTGCCAATAAAAGTTTATTAAGCCAACAAATGCCGGGCCAGAAATGTGGGCTGATGGATTGATGATGGGGTTAATGATGATGCTGATGATGATTTGCGGGGCAGAGAGGAGGAGTACCTGGAGCCCAATCAAATTACGCTGGCGGTTTAGTGAGCCTCGGAGCCACGAAATTTCATTTGTGTTAAGCTTGCTAAATTGTTTTGCTTATTATGTTGCTGCTGCTACTGCTGCTGCTGCATGGTGCACATGGCGTATGAGTAATGTTTATATGAAAATTATGCAAAATGCATATTAAAAAAAAGGGGCAGAAGCTTGCCGCTCTCCAACGGTTATGTGTGTGTGTGTGTGTGTGTGTGTGCTGTAAAAATGTGAGCCAAAAGCTTCTTAAGGATTAAAAACGTCAGCAATTTTGCGGTACACAAAAAAAGGAGGATACAAAAACAAGACGAACAAAAAAAAAAGCTAAAAGGGAAACAAAGCAAAGGCAACAGCCACAAAAATATTTAATAAATTTTACAAGTAAATAAGCACCAGCGCAGCAGCCAGGGCAGCCAGCAGCAGCAGCAAAGTTGTAAAAACTGCAAAAGCGCAGGATTTTTGTTGTCCTTTCGTTTTGCAGGGGAGACAGAGAGACCGAGACAGAGAGAGAGAGAGAGAGAGGGAGTGAACTGGAGTCCTGGATAGTCAGCTCGGATTCAGGGACTAAGGACCAGAGCAGGGGCCAAAAGCCAACGCCACATGTTAATGATAGTTTGCCAAAGCCGCAGCTGCAACAAATCTGTTGCCACACCGTGGAAGTAAGCAAGCAAGCGGGCCAGCCGGCAAGGGTTGCCTGTGTTGCCACACAACTGTGTGGCAGTGGGCAGTGGGCAGGTGACAGGAGGCATGGGGCAAGGGCGGGTGTGTGCGCCTTGGTTGACTGACATGTAAATAAAAGTAAAGTGCGTTGACGGTTGAAGGCGGGGTGATGTGTTGCCCGTAGCCGCTTAAACACGGCACATTTGGCTTTAATGCTGCATAATCGCCAAACAATTTCATTTCTCACACTCTGCCCTCTCCGCAGTGCCATCGACGTTGTCATTGTCGTTGGCTTTTGGCTTTGGCTGTGGCTGTGGCTCTTGATTTTCCTGCGAGTGTCAACAGTTTTGCAAGCTGCACGCAGCACCATAAACACACACAGAGGCAGCTGGCAGGAGGAAGCAGCAGCAGTCAGCAGGCAGCAGGCAGCAGGTCCTTCAGGTCTTCGGTTGGGCTGGTTTCGGGTCACTTAAGTTTTATGTGGCGAAACGCGTTACCAAATTGCGTTCAAATTGCGCACGCAGATAACAGTTTTTCATTACGGCACATAAAAGCGTTTGCCATTGTTACCCGCCCCGTTCGTCCTCTTGGTGCTGCTGCCTGATGCTAGTGCCCTGCCAAAATTGTTACGCCAACACGTGCCACACTTTGCAGCTCATGTCAGCAGACAAGGAACATCAGCAAAAGCAACACTCACACGGACACCCACACACACACACACACTCACAGTCACAGCAACCGAAACAGCAACAGCAACAGGCGTAGCTGTGTCCAGTGTTTAGTGCCGCCACCCTCTCCCCACACGACTGTCGCCCAGCCGCTGATGATTCTATGGCACTTAGAATGGAAGCTTTCCAAGGGACGCACAGCACAGACAGGCGACACCAATCTATTGCCGGGATTTCGCTTATTTACTGGCGCCAGTTGCTGGACAAGTTAATTTTTCAACTGCCTAAGCGGCCGAAAGCCGATCCGAGTCTGTCTACCAATTCTGATTTAAATATGTCGCAAAGAGGCACGCACAGAGAACAAAAAAAAAAAAGCTGAAACGGAAACGGAAACTGAAAATGCCAACATTTTGTTATGGCAATGGAGAATGGAGATTGATTGGCGCCCATCGTTAGTCGAGTGTCGTCGCTGCTCTGCCAAAGTTTCCGTTTCCAGTGTGGGGGCTGGGGGGACGATGGAGCACACGCTTTTAGGCGTTGACAATGAAAAACTTTGCTGCTCATCATGCGTGCAAGTTTCCGTCGACATTTTAATTGAAAAATACTTAGCAAACTCGGGTCGTTGTCTCGCACTCTCCGGTCGCACACCACTCCTCTCATGCCACGCCACGCCACGCCTCGCCTCTCACTTGTTGTCTCTGCTCAAGAGAGTGTCAAATGGCAAACACTTGGCCGGGGTCTGGGTCTCAGCCTCGGCTCAGCCCTAGCCGTTGAAGTGCACTCAAGACCAAGACCATTGCCGCTGCCGCTGCCGCTGCAAAGGTGTTAAAATGCACACGTATGCCATGGCAACGACAACTCCAACTCTAACTCCAACGCCAGTGCCGGCACGGGCCCCTAGTCAATAAACTCTGCTCGATTTTAATTGCTGGCTTAAGTTGCCCGCTCTTCCTGTCCTTCCTGCCGGGGTGTCCTTTCGCTGTCCTACTAACCTAAAACTCAAAGTTGGGGGGCCCGGCCTGCTCTCTCTCTCTCTCTCTTAGTGCGCTCTCTTAGCTGCCGGCCGACGCTAGTGTTTTTAATTTGGCCAGGATTAGGATGGGGTTCGTGTTTAATTTCAAGAACAAGCAAAAAAAAAAAAAAAGAAACCACTCCATTATTTTTTGTGCTGCGAGAGTGTCTGCACCACGCATCATGTCACGTCCGTGTGGCACGTCGCACTCTTTCTTATTACGCACTCGTAAAAGGAAACGGCTGGTTGGCTGACTTGTTCTGTCCGTTCGTTGGTTCGTTTCGACTCGTTCTGGATTATATGCCATTAACTCTGCCATTGCATATCGCTGCGTGATGTCTTTAGCGCGTGCAGTTCTCGGACTGTCTCGGTCTCGCTGTCGGTCTCCGAGCCTCGCTCGGCCTGCTGTTTGTCACTGTAATAAACAAAACAAATTGTTGGGGAGGGGTTGGCTCCCCTTTTCTATAGCTCTGTGATGTTTAACCCTTCAACGTTGACGCTAACATTTTGACACGCACGTGTCGAGAAAAAAAAAAACCAACGAAAAAGACAGCGCATAAATTTTTAAGTGATTAAAAAAGTGCCACACACATACACTCCATCCACAGACAGACGGAGAGAGAAAGAGAGAGAGAGAGCAAAAACATTTAAATGCCAGCAACGTGCAAAAAATAAATTGTTGTCAATGTTGCAAGTTAAGTGCCACACACAAACACACACACACACACCGACACGGGATCTGTTATCAGCCTGGGGAACGATGTGGCAATGGCACACAGCATCCACAAGTCGAAATGCCATTTCCGTTTTGTTCCGTTTCGTTCCACACTTTTCGCACGACTCTGGAGCCGCGTCGTCTTCGTGTATGGACGAAAGTCCTGTTTGTGCCGAGGATGCCCGCATGCTTCGGCTGTGCGCTCGTTAACGTTCGACATCGACTGCAAATCAGTTTGAAAATGTCTTTCGTGCGGTTCGGTTAGTGCAACGGGTATAAATCCAGCTGTCGCTTCGGCTTCCACTGGCAACTGGCAAACACACACAGAGAGAAGGGACAAAGGCATGCATGCCATGCCCCAAAAGTAAACAGCAACAAGAACAGCAGAGCTTCGCAATAATTAAATAACATTTGTCCAGCACACACAAAATTGTGGCACTCGAGTGCTCAAATCACCCGGGGACTACCCCACTAAAATACAAAATACCAAAAAAAAAAATACAAAAAGAATAAACACGATTCCCCCCCTCGCAAAACAAGTGAATATATATGCCGGCATTTACATCCACATCTCTGTATGTTCATGTCCATCGCACAGCAACAAAGATAACCCGCCGATGCTCCGTGGTTTAGTGGCAATTTGCATTTATGAACTGTACGCCGGCACTCACCGTGCATACGAAAAGAAACCCATCCTTAAGAAGGGCAGGCAGCAGCCATCGATAATCAAAGTCAGCCAAGAACTGCCACTGCCTCCAGACAGAGTGAATGAGCGAGTCCTTTGAAGTCCTCGAACCTTTGTGCGGTGTCTATGTGTGAGAGAGATAGAGAGAGAGAGTGCGGTGTGCAAAAGTGTGAAAAAGCGCAAAATAAATATTAAAAGCAAAACGTGCGTGGATTAGAAAGCATAACCCGTAGAGCAGCGACCATACGGCTGCCACTGCTGCTGCTGGAAAGATCTGAAAGAGCTCGCCGCAATAAGGTTGGTATCGCATTTAGATGCTGCACGGTGGGCCGCACCAGAGTCGGTTCAATGCACTGCCATCCACAGAGCTACTACTCGTGCATGGCTTTTCATTTTGAGCTCTGGCTCTCTGGTTACCCGGTTCTTGTTCTAGTTGTTTGTTTTCTTTTTTGTTTTTTTTTTTCCTTTTTGGTATCGAGTTTTTGTTTTTGGTTATTTCGCTCTTTTCTATTTTTATTAGCGAGGCGCGCACGTTGCCGCATAATTTACGCTAACTTTTATTCTGCCACGAGTTCGCGCTCGTCAGTGGAAGTGGACTGGAAATTCTGGTTGCTCCTGCTGCCCGTGCAAACAGAAACTGAAATTTAAATTTCTCCTCTAAGTGGGTCGCTGGTAAAACTTGCACCTGTCAGTGGTGTCGGGAAGGGGGAATGGGGAATGGGGCATTGGGCATCGGACCGAACATATGCCAAAGGCAAACAATCGGTTGACAACACCTCCCAACGCCCCAGCCACCCCCTGCATCAGCGCTATCCATCTCTGAGCCGTGAGGGTCCGTGAGTCCGTGTTGATTTATGACAATCGAAGATGGTTGAGGAGTAGTGGCCCAAAAGCCCATACTACCTACTCGTACATATACTAGCTGCCAGCCACCCCCTCTATTTACCCAAGTAGCTGTGCCACAATTTCCGTCCAACTGGAAACTAAATAATTATGTGGCTCAGGTGGGTTGCTGGGTGGCAGTGGGATCCCGGATGCTGCTCTGTAGAGTCTGGTTGCCCCGTGGGTCCCAGTTGCTGCTTCTGCTGCTGCTGCTGCTGCTGCTGCTGGTGTCTGTTGAGTTTAACGAACATTTATGCGAGTGCGGTTGTTTATGCTGAGCTCGAGTTATGTGGCACTTAAGAGGCGTGGCAACCACATGCACACACACACACACACACATATGCAAAAATGGGCTCATTTCCAGCCACACTGATACGCTCCATGTGTGTGTGTGGCACTCAGAAGGAGCAGGAGCAAAAGCAACGTTTGCATATGTTCATCAAGAATGAATTAAAAGTTATTTTAAATTCGTGACACTCGCCTAATTTTGCATGTCGTTCCATGTACAAACATGTGTGTGAGTGAGTGTGTGTGTGTGACTGTATGAGTGGGGTCTCTCTGGCAGTTGTTCTGGCTGTTTTGCCGAGTTACTGTGCTTAAGTGTCTGTGTCGCTGGAAGGTGTCACCTGCCAGACATTCAACGTACGAGCACTCCCAGGCTGACTGCTCCTGCACACGACTATGATGCTGCCACTCACAAGATCTAATATGCTCCACACACACACAGAGACATACATCAGCCATACAGAAATATACATATGGCCCCCCACAGAAGTACTGGGGAGCCACTGTCGCAAGTGAATTAAATTTCAAATGTTTCTTAATTTACTTTTTCGGTTTCCCGTTGACAGTTCAAATTGCTATAACAAATTTTCTAGCGTTACGCATGCCATTCATTCATTTCATTCATTCATTTCACTTTGCACAACCCCCCGCTCCACGTGGACCCACTGGAGTGGGGTAGGCATGCCGCACACACATTCATAAGTGAAATATTATGTACAACTGTCGTTCGACGTGTTTGTTTTTCTTTCTTTGGCTCTCTTTTTCGCAGTTTTTTTCACACATTTTTTCGCGCGTTGTGTGGCTTTTTTTGTTGTTTTTTTTCGTGGCGAAAATAAATGAAGCCATTCGAGCGCAATCAGAAATTCGCATTAAAGCGTGCACACACACACACACGCACACGCATTGCCGATGCGATGTGCCTCGACTTTCCCAACGCCTTCCTGGACGCCAGGATACGCATATAGGAAACGCATAAGGGCAGCAGCCGTGGCAGAGGGCTTAAGGTGATTTCCTCGAGGAGTGTGGCTTACGTCTCTAACTGTTGCGACTGCCAGGTGAAGATATCGAAAATTTAATGGGAATACGCGCTAGGTGCGAGGGGCATCGGATCCTTGGGATAAATCGCTTGAATGGCAGTGAAAAATTTCGCAACATAAATTCTGCTTAAACGAAGAACGAGTTCATGCCACAGAAAATCCGCTAATCAAAGTTATTTACTCTCTATCAGATGGGAAAATTCTTATACTACATTTAACCGGGCACACAAAGATTCAGACCCATATTTACGTGTATGAAATATTCGGTTTTTAAATACAAATATAGGGCAGTTTAATAGAATTCACTTTGATTGAAATAAATATGGATTCTAAGTCTTTCTACTGCGGCCCATATTTAATATTTAAATATACAAAAATTATTAAATTTGGAATTAAAAAAAAATATATTTAGTTTGTAATGTATTTAATTTAAATATGAAATTTTATTTGATTTATTTATTCAGTATTTGATTTAAGCATGAAAATTATTAAAATGTTTTCATATTAATGTAACAATTTAAGCAAATCTCTTGGTATTCATTTTTCTTTGGTTTTTTTAAGTCTCTTCCAAATAAATAAATAAATAAATGATACGTAAACGTCAGGATTTAATAAGAAAAGAGGTTTAGTTTGAAAAAGATTATAAAACGGACAAAGTTGTATATACTGAAAAAACTACTGCAATATATCCTTGTACCTGATACTCGGAAAATGTTCGACAGATACTCGAAGAGAGCTCTTCATCAATGATTTAAGCTCTTCTGCTCAAGAATATCCGTTTGGATGGATTTAAAAACAGTTGCAGTTAAAGAAGTGTAAACTGCAGGCAGGAGCAGACATGAGAACTTGCTTAAATGAAAAGAAACAAGCGGCAGCCCATCAGCGTGGTGTCTGTCTCCTCTGCCTGTTCGTTCGTTCGTTCGTTCGTTTGTCTTAGCCGTGCAACGCAGCTAAAAACCATTTACAGTTTTCAGTTAACTCGAAAGGCAAACGGAATGGCTGCGTGCAAAATAAATAAATACTCTGGAAACTCTTTTAAGCAACGGCACTCAGACATCAGGCATCAGCCATCAGCATCAGCTATTCAGCAGTCAGCCAACAGCCATCAGCCGAACAGCCAACAGCCATCTGTGTGGTGGGAGTTGCATGGCATCTGTTTTTGCTAAACAGCTCGCAAATTGAACTTAAATGTAGTGCAATGCAATTACAACTTATTTTGGGGGCAGTGGCAGTGCAACCGTCTACGTCTTTGTCTCTTTGATGGGCTGGGGGGATGGCCACAAAAAGTGCTTCAACGCAAATGAAATTAGTGTCAAAACGCTGGTTCTGCAAGTGCTGCATGCCTCGTCAAATCCATTTCCATGGCAAATGGAGTAGGAGGTTTTGCGACAGGATAGCGACCGACATACAGACAGCGAGACAGATAGACAGACAGACAGGCGACAAGGCATGGCCCAAACATTGGGATTGCAGATAGAGCGTCTACAAAAGTGGGCGTAATCGCTGGCATCATCATGGCTCCACGGTCCAGGTCCAGGTCCACGTTCGAGTCCAAGTCTGTGTCTCTCTCAGAGATAGCAACCAAACAACTGGCAACTGGCAACCGGCAGCAACCGTCTACAAAAGCTACAACATCATTTTTGCCCTGGTCTGTGTTTAGTTTTCCTGCTGCTGCTGCTAGTGCTGCTGCTGTTGTTGCTGTTTTTTTTTGTTGCCAATGCTTTTTAACTTGATTATGGGCCCAAAAAAAAAGTGTGCCATGAAGAGAGAGAGACAGAGAGGGGGAAAAAAAGCGGCGCCGTTGTGCTGAATGAAATTGATGAAGTAGTTTCAAAAGCTGCAGCAGCAGCAGCAGTGGCAGCCGTGGCAGTGGCAGCAGCAGCCGTGGCAGTGCTTCTAGCCGAAAGGGGAATGCAGTAAAAAACCCTTTCCTAACCAAAGGTAAATAAGCCTTGTTTTTGCCTTCTGCTCCTTGCAACTTGTTTGCTGCTAAGTTTTTTTTTTTTTTTTTGCCTGAAGCGCCACGCTTTCACGCTGAAAATTGAATGGGATTTTGGGTACGAAGGAGGTGGCGCTCTGCTATGCAGGTGCACGGTGCAAGGTGCATTGCCCCGGCAGAAGATCCGTGTATACAACAAGGACAATGGAGTGCATGAACCGAACTAAATTCGCCATTGTGGGGGCCAAAACGGAGGCTTAGCGGCCTGCCGTTTGATTAACTTCAATCAGCGCTGGGGAATCGCTTTCAAAATTAAAATTTATTGCCAATTTGCGGGAAATTCGATTAAGCTTAGGCTCTCGGCAACAAAGACCAAGCAAAAAGCAGGGCAAACCAAACCAAACCAAACCAAAGCAAAGCAAACCAAAGGAAAGCACGAAAAACACTCAGCTGGACATGGACATAGACATCCAGGACAGTGAGAGTGGAGCTGCGCAGGAAGGAAATCCTGGGCATTTAAATCCAATATGTAAATGAAAACAAGAGCAGGACGAGCACGAGCACCAGGACCAGGAACTGTATCGGGCATAGGCATTCGGTCCTGCCACTGCCCCTGCCCCAGTGCCCATTTCGAACTGTTGAAAAGCTGTTGAAGTTTATTGGAAAAATATTCAAATCACGTGGGTGGTCTCAGGCTCATCTCCCCAGCAACGGCATCGTCCTTCGGCTGTGTGATAAAAATGGCCAAGAAATTACTTATAGATTGAATGAAATCGTCAGCAGGCTCAGTCTCAGTCTCTGGCACTGGCTCAGGTTCTGTCCAGGCCAGGCCAGGCAGATATGCCCCAGCTCTCTGGCAAATGCTTTTGCAACATTTTTGATCAATTTAAATGCCCGGCTAAGACAATAAAAAGTCTTATTGGTCCGGCTTAGCTGGGGATTTCGAGAGGCCACTGTCAGAGTCAAGTCCCCTTGGCATTCGTATATTTTTGGCATGTAATTAAAATTGAAGGCGCCACAGCAGCAGCAGCAGCAGCAGCAGCAGCACAGTTCTGCCACAGCAAATGGCTAAATGATGTACACGGACACGGCTGAAGCTTCATAAACAAACAAACAAAAAAACTTATCTAATAAGTGTCAGTGGAACAACAGCA